CTCTTGTGCATGCATGTACTTTCCCTCTGTTTCTGCATATGGAAAGGAAAATATTTATTTTGTGCCTCTACTCAGTAACCATTTGTTACTATATTAGGGCCTGTGAACCACTTGTATTCACTTTCCTGTAGTCTCTACCTTTTGGTTGGAAGAATTCCTCTCTCTTCACCAAGCTCACTTAAAATCTTCTTGTGCTGAGCGTTTCCAGCACATAACCTCATCCAGAAACCAGATGGTGGTCTCTTGTTTTGTGCAGCAAAAAATGAAATCCAAGTCCACAACTGGTGAGGCCCAGCAGGAGCAGCCGGAGCTTAGAGAAGACCAGCAACAGAAAGCAGCTCAAAACCACACACGGGAGCAAAGCAAGGCCCCTTCGGAGCAGAAGGGGAAGGCGGGCTCTGTCTCCTGGGCAGGATTCCAGACCAAGGCCGAAGTAGAGCAGGTGGAGCTACCTGATGGGAAGAAGAGAAGAAAGGTCCTGGCGTTGCCCTCACACCGAGGACCCAAAGTTAGGTGAGATGCAGGATGACGGCATAGACCGTGATGGCTTCTGAGAGGGTTTGTTTTTGCTTAGCTCTTTTCCTCTTCGTGGCTTTTGTTTGGATGCCAGGGATGCTTAGTGCTGTGCCTGTCCCAAAGCACAAGCAGAGGTGTCAATCCTGGACCACATGGAAGCCAGAACAGGACCTGCAGAGGGGGCCTCAGAGGAGCCTCGCAGGGCGGGCTTTCACGCCATTTTCCTCCTTTTCTGCAGAGCTTCCTCCTGTACAGATGGTCATCTGTCAGCTGAGGCCCACTGACTTGAGGTTCCCCTGCAGTTTCTGTTTGGGGCCACAGACTAGTGCTATGAACAAAAGTTAATCTTCAAAAAATATTTGTTAAATAAATGAAGTTTTTTTGAGATTCTCTTGAGGTTTTAAACCAAAACAAAAACCAAATGTACAAATGTTGAGCCTTAGGACATTCTGTTGCAATATCCCTTTTTAGAATGACTTGTCATGGGTTAGAAAAAGCCAGTGTAAGAAAGGCATTTTATCTTCCTGGCTGAGAGAACCTCAGGAGTGCCAATTAGAGGAAGAACTCAGGGTGACCCGTGACTGTATTGTTTCAGGTTGCGGGACAAAGGCAAAGTGAAGTCTCTCCCTCCCCAAAAGCCAAAGCCCCAGATAAACCAGTGGAAGCAGGAGAAGCAGAAATTACCTCCCAAGCAGGTGAGTGGGGCACGAGGCTTTGGCATGACATGCTCTGCTGGGCTGGCAGTTGCTTTGTGCCTTGATTAGTTGGGCAAAAAAAGGGCTTCTAAGTTGCAGCTACATTCAGGACTGCAGCTTTTTAGTGGATATTGAGGCACACAGTCCTAAAAGTGGGGAGAATAGGAAAATAAATCCCCACATATCAGTTACTGTGCTTCAACAGTTATCCTGTCTTACCTGTCCTCCATACACACTCCCTGCCCCCAGTTCATTAAAGCAAACTCTACTTGTAAATGTGCCTTATGGGGAAATGTATATTGCTCAAAAAAATACTTCAGAATGCATCTCCAACTGATCAGGGGACACACACCCACACACACACACACAGCTATGGTCGTAATGAGTAACAAGAAGCCCTCAATGTCATCTAATACACAACCCATATTAAAATGTCCCCGATTGCCTCAAAAATATTTTTTTATAGTTGGTTGGTATGAGTCATTATTCAAAGTCTACATATTACATTTGGTTTTATATCTCTAAATTCTCTCCCTCTTCCCCCAATAATATCCAGTCTTCCTTGTCAGCCCCCTTTTTTCCATGCTCTCAGTTTGTTGGAGAAACCAGGTCATTTGCCTTTTAGAATGTATTACATTTTAAGTTTAGCTGTTTTGCTTCCTTATGATGTCATTTAAATTGTTTCTATAAAACCCCATATTGTCTGTACACTGGTAGCCATATCTAGAGGTTTGATTAGATTCAAGTTCAGTTTTTTTTCTTGGCAAAAGTATTTCTTAGGTAATGCTGTGTGCTTTCTGTTGCATCACATCATAAGGCATCTAATGTCTGGTTGCCTCATTTTTGGTGATGCTCAAACTCATTAGTAGGTTTAGGGATTGTCTACCTTATCCCTCCATTTGTAAAGTCCCCCACCAACCTCTCACCTAATGGTTTTAGCACCATTGAGGGTTGCTGTATAAATCCATTATTTCAATTTGGGTTGCAGAATGGTGATTTTCTAATTTTATCAATCCTTTGCTTTTTTTTTTTTAGTAGAATTCTAGAAAAAAAGAAACTTTTCAACTCTTTGGTTACCATGATACACTATAGGAAAGACAGGATAAATGTTAGATTTTTTTTTTCTCTTTATCAGTTTTCAGAATAATGAGTTGGTGTCCTATCAACCTCCTATGGTGACTAGTAAGATTTTATAGTATTATGAATTCCTGAGTTTTTATATACTTGATGTGTTTCCATCAAATGCAGTCATACCTGTTAGGCCAGCAGAAACTTTGCCAGGTTGACCCCTTAGTCCTTGTGAGATAACCCTGTCTTTGTTATTGTCCTTGCTTTCTAGTACAATCAGATGTCCCAGCTCATCTGACACATTTCTTCGCTGGTCCTGGCATTAGCCATTTTTCCAAAGAGCCCTACTTCCATTTAGGAGAGAATAGTAGTCCTAAGTTTTTGAAATTTGAGGTGAAGCTTTCTTTCTCCTTCCCTACTCCCTTTCTTTTAAGGGTATACGAAGCATTAGTTTCCCATCATCCTCAAAAAATCTGTGTCTGGAAAGTCTCGGCCTCTGCATACTGTCTTATGAAGCTCAGTCTCTGAAATCTAGTGTGCATTGTTCTTGGTGAGGGAAGGGGCAATGAAAGCATCCACACCTGGCTGACTCCCCTCTGAGGAGATGCAAGTGAGCATTTGGAGTGGCCTCCGAAACACCTGAGCAGTGTGTTCTCTTAGGCCAGTGGTTCTCAACCTTGGCTGCACATTAGAATCACCTGGGAATCTTTTTAAAATCCTGATTTCTGGGCCTCGTCCTCCAGAAATTCTGTTTCTTTGTTATGGAATTTCCGGAGGACGAGGCCCAGAAATCAGGATTTTAAAAAGATTCCCAGGTGATTCTAATGTGCAGCCAAGGTTGAGAACCACTGGCTTATGCATTCTGGCCTGATTGCTTACCAATGGGTGATTCTTTGAGGCTTTTTCTCTGCAAGGGTCACTCTTTGGAAGTCCCCTTCTTTTGGTGGACAAGATCTCTACACTTCCTTATTTTTTCTTGTGGGTGGCCTTCGGGTAAGCTGATATTTACTGCTTGAAATTGACTATCTTTTGTTTTCTTACCTTTCATTCGTAGGTGCCTAAGAAAAAAGCTAAGGGAAATAAGACAGAAATTCGCTTCAACCAGCTGGTCGAACAATATAAGCAGAAATTATTGGGTTCTTCTAAAGGAGTGCCTCTCGCAAAGAGAAGCAAGTGGTTTGACAGTTGATGCCAGCGGGCTGGATAGAGGCTGGATTGTGCGTTTCTTGGTGAAGCTCCCAGGCTCCTCCCCACCCCAGGGCTGTTTCCTAAGGGGAAGAACCCCCGACACACTGCCACTTCGTTGGGGGGGCTTCCTGGGCTGTGCTCATCTGGACTTTGTGTGGTTGTTAACCATAAAGAGAAATATCAGAGAAATATTGTGATGCTTCTTGCACATTAATTATCCAGATTATTATGTGAAGTTGTGTTTATAATTATTGTCCATTTTAACTCTGTTTCTCACATGGAAACAATTGTAAAATGCATTCTTAAGTGCTGAATTTTTAAGATGTATATTTTAAGTGTCTTCTCTAGATAAGATATTTTGTGGCTTTTTGAATAACAGACTCTTATTTCTGATATATGTGAATCCTTTATTATTTATGAACATTTTTTAAATCCCTAACTCTAATTCACTTAGGGTCCTACATACTGCAGGAATTGATTACGAAAGAGCAGAGAAAAATGATTTCCAACCTAATCTCTGAGGATGGGAGAAACTTGGAAAGTAATTGAGGGCAATGGGTCTGGCAGAGAGCAACATGTGATAATTATTTGCCAGATGAGTGGGTTATTGCTGGTAGTCGACAAAAAATCAGTTTGCAGTGGTCCACAGACACTAGCCTGGCTGGTGATAACCTGCATCTTCTATCACCACACGCCTCCGCCTGAGGACTTAGAGAGGTAAGGGGTGGCAGAGAGGTAAGGGGTGGCAGAGAGGTAAGGGGTGGCAGAGAGGTAAGGGGTGGCAGAGAGGTAAGGGGTGGCAGACAGAGCAGTGAGCTCGAGGCCTAGCCTCTAGCCTGAGCGGCCTTTACCTAATGGATGGCCTTAAACCAGACAGACTCCGTGAGTCTTAGTTTCTTCATCTATCGAATGAGGAGTTCAACTAAAGGTTTGTGTGATCCTTCCCAGCTCTAAACTCTTTTTCTAATTCATTCTTATGCATGTTCATATTCTTTCTCAATTTAACCTTCGTAAAGATAGAGATTACTTTTCAGAATTTATGGTGTCACAAAAGCTGGGAGGGATAGTGAATATTAGAGGGTTGAGGTCCAAAAGGATCATAATAACCTGAAGAGATGAACTGAATCTGATAGGATGAAAATCACAGGGAACATCATAAATTCTCTCTCTTGGGTCCAAAAACCTTACTGCACAAGTTCCGGTGGGAGAGTGTGAGGCAGTTGATTTTGCCGTGGAGAAACAATGTGGCTACCACAATGTAACAGGACTGTCAGGCTGTGTTAGTGGAAATGGGATGTCTCCGGTGAGTTGCTAGTTCTCAGACCAGACCACACCCAAAAGACATGTAATGATGAAGTTAGCCAAGGAATTAAACATGTCAGATGGAAACTAAATTGATCATGAGTTGGTTGTTATTGAAGTTGGTCATGGGTAAATAAAGATTTGTTATCCTATTCTCTCTGCTTTTGTGAACATTTGAAGTTTTCTGTAATAAAAAGTTAAAAGTCAGATTTGTAACTGGTACTGACCTATTTGAGAATTCTTGCAGTGTATTAGCTGTTGGTAGAGCCTGGGAGGGTATAAGGGGCAGATGAGTAAAAGTCACAAGGAATCAAATTTGGACTCAGTATCAGGAAGAACTGTAATGCAGGTAGGGCCTGCAATGGGGCATGAGTCTCCCCTCTGGAACAGCTAAGTGTGGGCGTAGTAAGTCCATGATGTTGTCCAGGGGATTCCAGTACCAGGCGACTGGGCTAAAGGAGGTGGTAAGTATCAGTCAGCTCATTATTGTTTGGCCCCAAGATGACCCAAGATATGTCTCACCCCAGTCCCTGAGGCCCCTTTCAAGAGAAAACCTGATCATTCTCTATGTCAGCGGTCACCAACCTCTCAGACCTCATGGACCACCAGTGGTCAGCGGACCACCAGTTGGCGACTGCTTCTCTCTCTAGTTTCCTTCATATAATTGGTCCTCATTAAGTCTGTGCCAGCTTAGCTTCTGTTTAAACCCTCCAGCGGGTTTCATCTCATTTTTTTAAAAAATTGAGGTGTAATTGACATACATTATTACATCCCCACTACTTATTGCTTTTATAACTGGAAGTTTGTATCTTTTTATTCACTTCACACATTTCATGCATCACCCTTCCCCCACAACTACTAATCTGTTCTCTATACTTATGAACTTGGGTTTTCTTGTTTATTTCTTTAAGATTCTACATATAAGTTAGATCATATTGTATTTGTCTTTCTCTGACTTATTTGACTTAGCAAGGTCCATCCATGTTGTCACAAATAGCAACATTTCATTCTTTTTCATGGATGAATATTATATAAATTACTAGAGGCCTGTTGCACGAAATTCGTGCAAGAGTAGGCCTTCCTTCCCTTGGCTGCTGGCACCGGCTTCCCTTGCAGCCCCGGCTTCATCTGGAAGGTCGTCCAGAAGGACGTCCGGTCTAATTAGCATATTACCTTTTATTATTATAGATACACATCACATTTTCTTTATCCATTCATTCTTATCTCACTGTGATTGAAATTTCAATTTTTCCCCAAAGCATGCAATGCCCTAGGTTCTCTAGCCTCTGTCCCCTCCCCTACCTCATTTTTATCCACTCTTGACCTTATATTCATTTTTGGCCACACAGGCCTGCCTTCAGTTCATGTGACTTTTTTCTACCTCAGAGCCTTTGTTTTCTTGGCCTGGGGAAATTTTCTTTTTTCATTACTCTTGACCTTATATTCATTTTTGGCCACACAGGCCTACCTTCAGTTCATGTGACTTTTTTCCACCTCAGAGCCCTTGTTTTCTTGGCCTGGGGAAATTACCTTTTTTTAGCATTTGTTAACCATAAATAGTGGATTCAAAGTCCTTTTCTTTCTGTAAAGTAGTTTGAACTAAAAGAGTTGGGCCGTATTTGTGATATGGGTGCATGGATGCATTTGTAGGAAGAAGGACGGAAGTCTAGTGACCCGATGCTAGTTAGGGGTCCTGTCCATGTATGAAATAATGATTCTTTGTCGGTGTTGTTGTTGAGCACGTATGACTTTTATAGTTAGGTAGATAAAAGTTATTTTTTAAACATTTTTCTCTTGTCACTTAGAAAGCTCTTCCTCTGTCCCTTGTGCGCCTCCTTTCTGTGCCAGCAAAGCGCCCCACGTATGACTCTAGTGCAGTGGTTCTCAACCTTCCTCATGCCGCGACCCTTTAATACAGTTCCTCATGTTGTGGTGACACCCAACCATAAAGTTATTTTTGTTGCTACTTCATAACTGTAATTTTGCTACTGTTATGAATCGTAATGTAAATATCTGATATGCAGGATGTATTTTCATTGTTACAAATTGAACATAATTAAAGCATAGTGATTAATCACAAAAACAATATGTAATTATATATGTGTTTTCCGATGGTCTTAGGCGACCCCTGTGAAAGGGTCGTTCGACCCCCAAAGGGGTCGCGACCCACAGGTTGAGAACCGCTGCTTTAGAACCTGAAGTTTCATAAAATTGTGAGAGGAACTTGATCTCTCTTGTTCAGTCATGTAGACAGCACCTAGAATTGAGTCTGGCACATAGAAGGTATTGTGTAAACATTTTTTTTGAATGAAAAAATAAGGGGGCAAAGGCAGAAACAGTACTCAGTAGACCAGAGAAAGAGTTAAATATAGCCCAAAGTTCTTCATTCCTTGGTCCAGCCTGTGCTGTAATAAATGCTGCTTTCTTCAGAACTATTGCTGACCCAGGGATATGGCTCTTTCACTGCACTGCCTTGGGAAATGAATGAATGCTCCACAATGCCCTTAATTGGTTTAAAGATGGATACAACAGAGAACTAGACAGGGGCTTTATCTCCAGTCACCTTGAGACAGTGTGACCTAGGGAGTTTGGACTGTTCCTGCAATAACTTGACAATACATCGTTCCCAAGTCTGTCCACTGTGGAGGGAGTAAGCTGCTTTATTAAGGTTACACACGGAATATTCACAACCTGCCCGTCAGCTGACCTGTTTTCCCTTGGCCAACTCTGCCTGCTCACCAGACACTTTTCCCCTAATATACAGATATCTATGAATTAGCATTCAAAAACACATCTTAGCATGTAGGATAGGTGAAAATCAGTGTTCCTGCAGATAACTTCGCCAGGTTTTCTTAGATCTAGATATTCTGTCAGCTTTAGCAAACCAGGATGCTTGAAACATTCAACTGCCTGGAAAGGGATTGCGCAGTTCTTCTAAAATAATGATAGGACAGTCCTGGCCAGGTGGCGCGGTTGATTGGGGGTCGTTCTGTATACCAAGAGGTTGCGGGTTCGATTCCTGGTTAGAGCACGTACTATACAGGAGGCAACCAATGGATGTTTTTCTCTCTTTTCTTCCCCTTCCTCTCTAAAATCATTAAAAACATATCCTCAGGTGAGAATTTAAAAAAAAGTGATAGGACAAATTATCAACCTGATCCTCAACAAACCAGGTTCCTTGTGTGGTATCCTCCTTTGGCACACCTGACTGTGTTATCTGGGCAGCTCCATTTACCTTGCCTGGGAACACTAATGCAACGAGAGTTATGCTTGCTTACTTGCTTTAGAGCCATAAGTTTCATAAAATGGAGTTTTCTGAATTAAACATGAAGGTGGTGGTACAGACTGGTTAAAAAACAACACCAATAACAAACATTTTTGTTAGCATCTGAGACTGAAGGCCATCAGAAAAAACTCAAGTTTCAGTAGTATTTTCCTGTTTGGTTACACAGTAGCCTGGCTCAAGCATATTTCCTTTAAATAAAGAATCTTAAGGTTTGTGTGCTGGTTGTTGCTTTGCGGGGTGTTTTGTTTTTGTGTTTTTTGGCTACTAGGTCGTTTTGAAGAACTCCCTGCTCTGATTCAGGATGTACAGTTCCTTCCTTAGAGTTAGCCTGCAGCTATTCTTCAACTGTCTTCAAAGGCCTGCAGCTTCTTTGGTATTTTTTTGCCTTGAAAAGAGGTTTTCCAACTGAAAATTCAGAGCGCAGGACCTCAAGGCTCCAGTGACCCCCTTCTCACCATGTCTTTGGCCTTCAGTCATCTGAGGAAGTCGGGGTCAAGTACGCCACATTGA